AAAAAAAAAAAAAAAAAAAAAAAAAAACAAAACAAACAAACAAACAAAAAAAAAATTATAGGTCCATCAAAAGATGTGACAGAATGCAAACATTAGAGAGATATTAATGAAGAATTTTAATAGTGAAAAAGGTCCAGTCATGGCTAAGTGGGAGAAAGACAGCAGAGAACTGTGTCTGCAGTAGGCTTTCACTAACTCAGTCTTCTCTTCTCCTCTCCCTCTTTCTCTCTTTGTTCTTTCTCATACAGTGCTTTCTCCCCGTTAGAGGGTGAATAAGAGTTGCTTATTTTGCCTTTCTTGTTTTTAAAACACTGACAATGTACTTGTAGTACTTTTTTTTTTTTAATAACCACGAAGATCGATAAATGTTTCAATGCTGTCAACATTATGGACAATACATTTTGAATCTAAAGCACAAACAATGTGAACAATAAAGTTAATAAATAATTTAGGTATATAGCAGAAAGTTAGTTTTTCAGAAAACGGTAGTATTGTAAAGATTGCATGGCATTTCTCAGGGTAATCGGTTCAAACTTCTGTGGAAAGAAGAGTAAGTGTGATATTGAAGTACTAAAAAAAGTCCTATGGATGACATTTTACTAAACGCCCTGTTCCTTTCTTTCTTTTCCTTTCCTTCAGTGTCTCGATATAGCCTAGGTAGGCCTGGAACTTGTCATGTAGTCCAAGCTGGCTTTGAACTAGCAATCTTGTCTATAGCCAAACCATCCTGAATGCTCTTCATCTGAACTGAGCTAATTAGTGATCCTTCTGCCTCAGCCTCTGGAGTGTTGGGATTATAGGCATACGTTGCCACACCTAGCTAAAAGTCCTTGTTGTCTTTAAGATGAATGGAGTTCGGTGTTGGGTTACACCCCCCACCCCCGTTGATGTATAGACCAGGAAATAAGAGACTGAGGAATATGTAATCATTTGGCAGAAAGGAAAAAGAAGAGCTTGTCATTAGGACGAGGAAAACCAAGCTAGATGGAGGCCAGTATAAGGCTCGAAGCAAGCATGCAAACTTGTGTGTGTATTGAATATTTGTCAGACAGTGGACTTTGCTGTGATCAGGTCATGCATTTACCTGTTCACAAGGCAGGCTGAGAGATTGATACTACTCTTCTAGTTTCAGCAGGTCTGATTTTAACTTAGCAAAGATTAGTTATGTAGGCTAGGTTTTAGGCTGCTCCTTCTCTTTTCCCAGTGACCGGGCCTCTTCTGTTTCACAGCACCCTCTCCCACACCCTCAGAGCAGGCCCCGAAGTGTCTCACGGCACTGTGGCTCCTGGCCACTTGCTGGCTTGCTTCCTGGGGAATGTTTACTCCTTGGGAGAAAAGGACTATCTGGCAAGGAATTGCTCTCTGCATTTTCGTTTTTCTTTCAGAATTGGCTTGGTATGTGGTTCATAAGGGACCATACTGTGTTCCAGCTTCAAGTGCAAACCAAATAATTCAGAGATCTTAACAGCAAGTGTGACAGAAGTGGTTGCCAGTAGCAAAGTGTGTATATACAGTTTGCTCCTAGCTCATTGGCTACTGTAGGTATAACTTACTTTCCTGCAGACTGCAGGAAAAACATAATTTGGTTGATGAGCGTTACTAATCTCGATGGCAGATGAATTATGGGCAAAAATCAAATGAAAATAGAGAGGCAGTTACTTATTTATTGTTTTTGTTTTGTTGAAACAGGGTCTCTCTGTGTAGTCCTGGCTCTCCTAGAACTCTGTGTAGTACAGGCTGGTCTTGAACTCACAGAGATCCTCCTGTTTCTGCCTCTCATGTTCTGGGATTAAAGATGTGTACCACCATGGCCAGCTGAGAGGCCATTGCAT